CTACCTCACGTGATTAAAAAAAGAGAATTCAGTGATGTTGACCAACAGGTAATAACTTAAAATCAGTGGTCAGCTCTGAAGAAAACTACTATGGTATTCTTTCAGAAAAATAATGAAACTAATCAAGAAGGAGGACTCTGGCTAGTATGTTTATCCTATATTTTATATTGTGAGTGAGTATATACCCTGTGTGTGTTTCTGCTTCTGGAATATCTCACTCAGCATGATCTTTTCCATTTCCCACCATTTATCTGCAAATTTCATGATTTCCTGGTATTTTTATTGCTGAGTAATATTCCATTGTGTAGATGTACCACAATTTCTGTATCCATTCCTCAGTTGAGGGGCATCTGGGTTGTTTCCAGCTTCTGGCTATTATAAATAAAGCTGCTACAAACATGAAAAAAAAAATAATGAAACGATGACGACATAATTAACCAGGGTCTCATTAAGGATTAAGATTTCTTCAGGTAGTTATATTTTTCTCCCTGATATTTCTCCATTAATCCTTAGTTTTCTGGAGCATGTTGAGTAACAGAGAGAATACTGGGTTTTCAGGGTTAAAAATCCATGAAGTTAGGGTTCATTTTCAAGGTAAGGGTGTCCACTGGTGACCACTGGTCACTTGTTGTTCTAAGTAGTCTCTCATTTAAATTCTCCAGTGACATAGTCAAGTAGGGGCTGTTCTAGCAAGCTGATACCAGACTATGAGAGCGAAGCTAAGTTTGTTGTTGTTCCAATGTCACCTAAGCAAGAAAGTGGCAGTGGTATGGTTTGTATTTGCTTGTCCTGTGGTTTGAGTGCACGCATCCCATGACATTTGTGGCTACATTTTGATATGTGTTCTGTGTCCTAATATCTGTTTGTTAAGTTCTTACTAGTGGTGGTAGAATAAAGAAATTGAAAACTCTTAACAAAATACATCTTAATAATTTAAATGTAATTAGACAGTTTTTCTGTGGGAATAACACACTGAAATTATGATTTTAGCTAATAGGGAAATGTAATTTACTGCTTCCCTACAAAGCCCTTCAGGGATTATAGTTGATGAACTTGGCTTTGGCCACTGATTTGGCCGCCTGTCTGCTTCTGTCTGGTTCAGTGCATGGAACTGTGGCCCAGACCTTCCAACTACATGCTGCACTGTGAGCACAGAGTGGTGTTGGTACCTTTATTCATTCAAATATTATTCTAAGCATCTTCTGTCTCAAGTTTGTGTAAACATGCCACCATTTGTACTCTACATTGTCAATAAAACAACCAAGCAGTGCTGAGCAATGGAGAGAATAGGGTGGGACATCCTGGTTGGGAGGGGAGGAGAAAGAAGCAAGTGGTAGGAGTCAGAAGGAGAGATTGGGCAGGAGAGGACTTGGAACCAGGAGAAGAGATAAACTGGACCTAAGATATAACTAAAGCAAGTATAATGTGGGAAATCTGAATGGGAGGAAAGCATGCAGGCTTTGAGGTTTAGGATAGAGTAACAATTGCCTAGCATTGTGCTCTAGGTTAATTAAATAAATCCTAGTCTCTGTGTGGTGATTTGGGTATACAGCTGTTTCAGAAATAACTGCTGTTTAACTAAAGAATAAATCAATAATAATTATTAATAATCAACAACACTGCCTCTTGCCAGGGGGTTTGCCATGTTTCTTTGAAATTAGACTTTCTGTGTCCTGGATCTCTTGAGTTTAATCATGATTATATCTTAAACTCCCTGTGGCTGCTTAGGCAAAGCTGTCTTTTAGAAGAAAGTAGATAGTTTGCCTTAAATTTGACAAAGTTGAACTGTGGGGTAAGATCACTGTGGGAGATCAAAGCAATAGCTAAGTTACATTCTAGAAAAAGGAAGCCTCAGACTGCGTCCTTATTGGTTAGTTTCTTTTATTAGTGAAATGAGTTTGACAACATTTTACATCTAGGTTTAATCAGTACATTCTGATGAAGTGAGATCTCCTTGTGAGGCCTTGGACTGAATCCAAGGTTGTCTGTCTTTGGAGCAATCCTTGACGTAGCATTTAGTCAACAAAATGTTCTTTTTCTTTTTTGAGTATGTATGTGAGTGAATGAGTATGTGTGTAAGCACACACACTAGTGTGCTTATGTGTGCAAGTACAGAGGTGAGAAGAGGACTCTGCTCTCACTCTGTCGTATTCACTTGAGACAAGGTCTTGCACTGAATGGAGCTGGGCTGGAAGCTAGCAAGCCAGTGACCTCCTGCCTCTGTCACACATCTCACCAGAGCTGCAGGCCTTCCTGCAGCCACACACAGCTATTTGTGTGGGTGCCAGGATTCAAACTCAGGTCCCAAGAGCTACCCTCAGGTCACCAGTTGTGGTGGTGCACATCTGTAGTTTCGCACTCAGGAGGCAGAGGCAGATGGATCTCTGTGAGTTCGAGGCCAGCCTGGTCTACAAGGCAAGTCCTGGACAGCCAGGGCTACACAGAGAAATCCTGTCTCAAAAACCAAATCAAAACAAACTAAAGTTCTCCTTTCCCAGGGATGCCTCTCAAATGATGAGGTCCCTAAAGTGAAAGGGAAAGGAAAATGTGCGTTTCTTCCATTGATGAAACCAGTCAGTTCTGTTTACCTGCATGTGGTCCAAATTTCACCAGGAAAGAGACACCATATTGATTCCACTAGTGCAACTGGGCTCCAGCCTGAAGTTAATTAGCCAGGGGCACTCAGCTATTATTGTCAAAAGACACAATGTTTCTTAGAACAATCAATGATCTAAGTGATGAATGGAGATAGTGCTGATGGGCAGAGTGCTTGCCCTCACACACAAGACCCATGTTTGATACCCAGTACCCTAAGGGAAAAAAGCTGCAAAACCTTGAGAGACTGTCTGTGGTCCTAACAGTCCCGAGACAGAGGTAGGAGGACCATGAACTTACAGTCTGGACAACAGAAGACCTGGGTTCAAGAATCATTTCCCCCCACCAAAGCCACAGGTTTTCTGGCACAACATCTCATATTTGCTTTCCCAGAGCCCAGTGTATTGCCTAGAATGCAAGAAATGGTTGCTGAAGGAAGCAATGAATTACAGTTTAGCATTCATGAAGTGCTGTCTGTAACTGGTAAGGGTAGATTGTTAGGCTGTCACGGATCCTCCCAGTGGCCTGTGATTTGGGGGCCACTGGTGAGGAAACTGAAGCTGAGGCTGAAAAACAATTTCTTCAAGGATGTCCAGCAGTAGTTCCAAGTACCTCAAAATGGGCTATGTGCTGGGAAAAACTTTGATTGGTGTGATTAGCATTGGGGTAACTGCCAGTTAGAAATGACTGGCTCCAATTACTAGCTGTAAAAAAGGAACCAGTTAGCTTTTCTGTTGAATTGCATGATGGGGTTAGCAGGAGCAATTCCTTAGAACAAAAGGCTGGGACCTGTGCGATAGGGCCCTGAACAGTGCCACAGCTTTTCTCTGGCTAGTTCTGGAGCAGGAAAAGTGCCAGTCAACTTGGCATCTGGAGACTTGAGTGTCTCTGTCTTCAACAGAAGGCATCTCTGAGGTCACAGCAGCCTCACAGCTCTTGGTTACATAGGACACTTTCTCTGAGGAAACCCACTTTCTATCTTGGCAGGGCCAGAGTTCCAGTGTTGTGCCCAATTCATTAGACTCCCAAAAGACCACCAGGAGTCAAGTCCTTTGCAAAACACGTGAGGATCTTTATTCACAGCTCAAGCTGGGACTCTCACACGCACTGGTATCCAACTGAGAGCCCAGAGCTCAGAACTGAGAGTGATTTAAAAGTCCCAGTCCCTGCCTGGCAAGGGTCTTTTGGTTGAAACACAAAAAGGGTGTCACATTTTAAACCAATTGGCGCCAAAACCATTCATGGTTCTGGCTTCCTTTGTTTGGCTGTTGCTAGGGGAGAGGGGCCATCTGGGCAGGTTTCCTGGCAACAGAACCTCTAGTGGGTGGAAAGGAATGCAGTAAAGCTGGTTCTTCCACTCAGGTGGTGGGACATGTCTCAATTTGTCTTGGCCTTTGTTCAGGCTTGTGCATTAAACCTTAATCCAATACCCCCAAAAAACTAATTTTTCATTCTTTGGTCTCTCACCATCACTTACTGAAGTTATGCCAAAGGCATGTTTCTGAGCCTCCTTTAATGGACTGTGGGTGTTGGACAGCAAACAGCTAGAAGCCTCCTGAGCTGCTGCTGGCTGGGCCCAGTCACCATGTAAAGGCCAGGAAGGATGGAGTTTGGCTTAACCATTACAGGTAGTGACACCTGGCAGGAGACTGCCCCAAAGTAGCTGTTCTCCTTGGTGAGCTCTAGTTACCTGAGGGCCCTCCAGTAAACACTCTGCTGGGACATTTGCCCTAAGGGCCAAGCCAAACGTAATTGTTTTACTCATCCTATTGCATAGAACACCTGGGCAAATTCCAGGTTTTCACTGATTAGCCTTTGCTTGGGGTGGTAGTTAAATTTTGCTGGGTTTTCTCCAGGCTATTCCTTGGGTCAGGGACTCCATTGTCTTCTTTCTGGAAATGGTGATCTATGTTCTAGTTCCTGGGACTGGTGGTTTTTGCTGAGGGGGTGGAGTGGGGGAGGTGTTGGGGGTCAGGCCTGGTTCTCTCACTGGAACCTAAGATGCCCAGCAGCCCTGGGCCTCAGTCAGGCCAGGTGTCTCCGGGGTTGGCGTTCAGGAGGAGGGTGCAGTGGCTGTGTGCGAAGTAGGTGAGGGGATCACAGTGCCACCCATGATGCCTGCAGGCCCCTAAGCTGCCATGGGAGCCTGCCTCCAGTTCAGCCCAGAGGGCAGGGCTTGCCATTGCCAGGCCTGAGTGGCGCACAGGGGAGGACAGGGTGCAGCAGCTGAGCCTCTGCTGATTGGGCCTCCCTCCCCAGCCCACCAGCCGGACTTCACCGGCCCCTAAAGGGAGAGGCGTGGGAGTGCGCTCGCAGGGGCGTACGGTGGGGGAGGGAGCACGCGCGCCTCCTGGGCTCCTGCCGCTCTCGGGCCGGCGAGGCGCGCTCTCCTTGGTACGCGCTAGGGCGCAGGGGCGCGCACGGTGTGGGTGCGATGGGGAGGAGGAGGAATAGGCCGGGCTCGTCGCATTCGCTGCCTCCTCGCCTGAAGAGATGCGAAGGGGAGTGGGAGGCTTGGCTAGCGGCTCCTCGCGCCGGCCTCCGCTCTGCTCAAGCCCCGCTGTGATAAGGGTCCCCCACCCCCAGCAGGCTCGGGAGGGGTTACGGGCACGGTAACTAGAGCGCAGGGCGGGCGGGGGAAGGGAGGAGACAGGAAGATTGGTGGTGGCCGAGAGGTGAGGGCCGCGCTGGAGGGCCGCGCGGAGTCGGCGACGCTGCTGCAGCCGCGGCTGCCTCCCCCGCCTCCCTCCTTCCCGGCGGGCCTCGGGCCTGGCCAGGCGGGCCTGCGGCCAGCTTCCTCCCGGCGCGGTGCGGGCACCCCGGCTTCTGTTTGACCCCAGGTAAGCTGGCTGGCGGACACGGGAATGGCCGCCCACCCTCCCGCAGCAAACTTTGTTCACGGCTGAGTGCTGACGAGCGCCAGCAGCGCTGCGGGGAGGTGCCCCCGAGGCTGCGGGAAGGAGCGCGGCCCGGTGAAGCGGCCGCCGCCGCAGCCATGTTTGTCAGCTGCTGCTACCGGGCTGGGCTTCGCGGGCCGCCTCGGGTGCCCTCCCGGGGCCGTGCCCGGCCTCGCGGCCCTTGGAGCTGAGAATCCCAGTGTGTTTGCCCTCGGGAAGGCAAGCTCCGGCGCACCCGCCTCGGCTTACTCGCTCGACGCCAGCTCACGGTTGCGGTAAAGGCTCGGGCACCGGCGGGGCGCTGGGTGCAGCGCTATGGTGACCGCTGCGTCCAGCTTGCGAAAGGAGAGGGGACACCTTTTTATGCAGCGTCCAGAAGCTGCCCCTGAAACCCACAACCCCGTCCCTTTCAAGAGATTTGGCTGTCGGACCTTGGGCGTGGGGAGCGGGAGAGGAGGGCTGTCGTTTGAGAGCTGGGAGTTTAGACTCCCGAACAACTTTAATCTTAGTCGTGTCTCCCCCCCCCCCCCCCCCCCCGTGCCCACCAGTCTGCAGTGCAGGGAAGGAGAACGGGCTGCTTCCATGTGGCAGGATTTACCCATCTCCGGGGAAGATGTAGTCCTTGGAGACCCACTGGGGCCATTTTCCTGTGTCATCCTGGAGAACTTTTTATGTCCTTGGAAGTGCAGCAGAAAGGCCACTAGGGCTTCAGAAGTGTCAGCCATTTTAAAGAGAAGAGCCAGACTGTTAACTCAGAATAATTGTTGTGCTTCTTGGATTTCAGGTTGATGTGGGCACAGTATGGATCACACTTGTGAACTATCTAAAAGAAATTGTCTGCTGTCCTTTCCCAATCCAGTGGATTTAGATGCCCCTGAAGACAAGGACAGCCCATTCGGTAATGGTCAATCCAATTTCTCTGAGCCACTTACTGGATTGCAGTTACTGACTGCAGTGGAACATCCCAAAATGCTTATGGACAAGATTCTCCATCTTGTTACATTCCACTGCTGAGACTACAGGATCTGGCCTTCAGGATCAATGTAGAGTATTTAAGTGGGTCTGTTGATGGATCAGAGTCCTTTCAAGACCCTGCAAAAAGTGTCTCAAGAGCTCAGTCGCCAAATGTTTGCACTTGTTTGAATCCTAATGGTCCAGCAGCACTTGCTCTGAAACAGGAGCCCTCTTGTAATAACTGCCCCAAACTCCAGTTAAGAGTAACAGAGACAACCAAGAATGGCTTTCTGCACTTTGAGAATTTTGCTTGTGTGGACGATGCAGATGTAGATTCTGAAATGGCCTCAGAACAGCCAGTCACAGAGGATGAGCTCTTTGAGGAAACTCAGACCAGTGCCGCCTGCAATTATGAGCCTAAATCAGAAGTATAGAAGTGGCCATGGGAAGTGAGCAAGACCAGAGAGTAGACACGGTGAAGTCAAACAGCCATTCTTGCCATTAGCTCCTTCACCAAAAATCAGGAAAATAAAAGAAGTGAAGTGGATGTACACAATGAAAGACAGTCCTCCTCCCAGCCTACATTTCACTAGGAGACACAAACATTACCATAGAAGAACAATTTAACTCAATACATTTACCTTTTCAGGATGATCCAGACTCCAGCACTAGTACATTAGGAAACATGCTAGAATTGCCTGGAGCTTCCTCATCATCTGCTTCACAGGAATTGCCATTTGTAAGCAATTTTTGGTACAACTTAAATATAAACTTGAATGTGTGTGTAGGTATATATATGTGTATATATGTATATGTATATATGTGTATATATATATATCTATATGCCACTTAAAGGGAAACTACAGTTTGTTTTTGTTGTCAATTCATAGTTAACGATGAGCTTTTTTGGGAAAATTTGCTTTCATTTTTAAACCATATCCCTGTGGTGTGAGTTTGGTTCTTTATAGTTTATCCCAAATTGCTTCATTGAGGACTGGCTAAGTGTTAACCTCTAAGGGCGTTTATAAACCTGAGCTCAGATTTATATTTTCAAGATACGGGTAGGTAGGTATACATCTTTTACCTGTGAAAAACAAAACAACAAAAATTTAGAGGCTTTGGTCTGCGGATGCCTGTGTGGAGCCATAAAATGGCTGCTTGATTCTAGCCTGCTTGGAATCCACGAAGCACAGTGTGCTTAACACGACGTGGTGATTTTTCACTCCTGGACCGCAGTTGTTCTTTGATTGTTAGAGGTTTGCTCAACCATTTAGATTTGGCAGGTATAGTATGAAAACTTCACTCCTGCTTTGAGAATTTTTTTGAGAATGTCCTGCTCTGTGATTTTCACTGAAACCTGTTCCTCCCCCCGAATTGCCCATTCTTACCCCTTATAAGCTGTAACCTAAAGATTACATTAAACGGAGACTTGATCAGAATACTGTCTTGTCTCCATTCTTCTAGTCTCTTGTTCTACCCCATTCTCACCCCTCTCTTAGGATCTCGTTTGACTGACCTGCAGGATGGGTCAGATGCTGACAGTGCAGGTGACCAGGGTGTGATTGGAGTCCTGTGTCTGGATAAAGCATGACTTGTTTCTCACAGGCCAGACTTGCTGCAGGATGACCTGCATTTTAGGCACAGATTTAACTTGGCTAAGATGGGAAACTTTCTTGGCCAGCACTCAAAATTTAAAGTAGGTTAAATTTTTTTCTGAACTACTTGTAAAGTTACAGCGCCCTATGCCTTTGATAACTGCCACCACTGAGTTAGGCTTCATAAGCTCTTCGAAGTGTTAAAATTTGGAGTGTCTGTAGATACGCAAGCATTCATGTACGTATAGAAATGAAGAAGAATACATGAATTTCTTAATGTTCTCTAGAGTTGCTCGCAGGTGATAAAGGCTAAAGGTCTTGTGTTTTAGAATTTCTTCAATAGTTAAATGAGCAGTTGGCCTCTTTAGCCCCAGTTTCATCACTACTTGATTTCTGAAAGACCACTTTTAGCTTTACATATTTGATTCTGATTTTGTTTCTGCTCTAAACTATATTGTCATGGACACTGGTAATGTCCCAAAGAGGATGGTTTTTGTGGGGAATCAACAGATGCCTGAAAATACAACATAGACTTTATAAGACATTTTTATAGTATATAGATGATTATTTTGAGGGCATTAAAATTTATTTTACCTTATCTCTAAAGTTGCAGACAGAATGTGGGTGTTTCAACTTTGTTTTGGTTGATTGATAACAGCTATGGCTTAATACTTTGGTTTCTTAGGTTGGCAGTTACAGATTTTAAAAACTTGTGGTCGATATCTTGAATTTATGTATTATTATTCTGGATGTATATTAGAGTATATAGTTCATTTTGAAAACCTGCAGCTCAAAGAAAGCTTTTCTTTGGGTTTGTGTTGGTATTTATAGTACATGTGTGTAGTTTTGTCCTTGTTTTCACAGATGCATTAGATTTGAGGGTAGAGATAGATTCAGTAGAAGCATACAATAGAAATGTAAACCTGTGTAGGTCTCATCAGGTATATGTAGTCTAGTATTGGTTCTACTAACTCCAGCTGGACAGAGTGGCTCACATTTCTAATCTCAACCTTCTGGAGGGTGAACACTTTGAGTTTGAGGCCCACCTGGGTTACATAATGATTTCTAAATCACCTGGTCTACAGTGTAAGACTCTCAAAAAACTACCCTCCACCCCTTCCCCCAAATCGTTTGAGTGTATTATGTGTCTAACATGGTAGTTGACAAACTTGTATAAATATAGAACATTTTATTTCCTTCCTTTTCTTCCTAATACAAACCTGTATACATTGTATGTATTAGGTGACAGCTTGAAAAAAGATTGATCTCAGAGTTTTTTGTCATATTGAGTGGACCTTCATAGCCTTGTAATAAAAAGAGATGCCATAGAAGACGTAGGTCAAAGCCATCCAGATGTGGTATCTCATGCCTACTTCTTAGTACTCAAGAAATTGAGGCAGAAAGGGTTGCCCTGAGGTTGAGGCCAACCTGAGCTACAGTGATCAAAACAAACAAAAATGTGTGTTTTCATGGTACTTGAGACTTTCAATCAGAATTGAGTACTGATGGTGTCCTCCTACTGTCTGGGTTCTGGGGATTAAGCTAAGGTCGTCACGCTTGGTTTTCTTCTGTGTGTCATATCCCACCAGTTTGCCTGTGTGTGTGTGTGTGTGTGTGTGTGTGTGTGTGTGTGTGTATGCATATGTATATGTTTGTTTTGAGACAGAGTTTCTCTGTGTAGCTTTGGTTGTCCTGGAACTCACTCTGGCCTCAAACTCATAGAGATTTGCTTGCCTTTACCTCCTGAGTGCTGGGATTAACGATGAGGGTCACTACTGCCCAGCTCCTATGTATGTTTTTGAGACAGGGTGTTATATATAACTCTTGACTGCTCTTGAACTTGTATATAGCAGAGAATGACCTTGAGCTTCTGATCCTTCTGATTATAGCTCAAAAGGTAGAGTTACAGGTATGTTACCACCCCTGGTTATGCTTGCTCTGTATCCTGGACAGGCCTCAAACTCAAAATTCCGCATTATAGTCATGTAATGTTTGCTCATCTACTTGCATCGATTTATTTAACTACTGCTTCACTGTGTGAAAACTGTCTGTAGATGACTTTGGAACTTTTAACTAAGAAATTTTGATTGCAGACTGATCTTTTCACCTTATGTCATAGTCATTGAAAATATAGTATTAAACTGGATGTTATGAGATATATCAGTAATCCCAGCAGTTTGGAGACTGAAGACAGGATTTGATTTTGAAGCCAGTCTTGGCTACAAAATGAGGTTTAAATGCTAGGTGTTGTAGCATAGCAAAGGCAGAAGCAGGTAGATTTCTTGAGTTCCACGGTAGCCTGGTGTGCATATAGAGTTCAGGGTCAGCCAGGGCTACACAGTGAGATGCTATTACAAAAAACGGTATAGGGGACACACACACACACACACACACACACACACACACACACACACACTATCAATGACTCAGCATTTAAGAGTACCTGGTGCTCTTTTAGAAGACCCAGATTTGATTCCCAGCATCCGTATTAGGCAGTTCACGGGTGCCCATAACTCCAGATCCAGGAAGATGTGGTATCTGGTCTCCATGGTCACACACACTCCTACCTATACACATACTTTCATACCTATATGCATCCATAATTAAGAATATAAATCTCGTGAGGCTGGAGAGATGGCTCAGCAATTAAGAGCACTGGCTGCTCTTCCAGAGGACCCAGGTTTGTTTCCGAGTACCTACATTGTGGTTTACAGCCCTCTATAACTACAGTCCCAGGAGATCTCACTCCCTCTTCTGGCCTTAGGCGCTGCCTGCATGTGGTACACAGATATACATGCAGATAAAATGCTTATTCACAAAATAAAGTGGAAAAGAGTGAAAATAAGAATCTTGATTAAAAAGCCAGATGTGAGGCTGGAGAGGTGGCTCAGAGGGTCCTGAGTTCAATTCCCAGCAATCACATGGTGGCTCACAACCATCTATAATGATATCTGGTGCCCTCTTCTGGCCTGCAGGAGTACATGCAGACAGACCATTGTATGCATTAAAAAAACGTGAAGTCAGGCATGGTGGTACGCATCTTTAATCAGACCACTAGGGAAGCAGAGGCAGCTGGATAGCTGTGAGTTTCAAGGCCAGCCTGGTCTACAAAGTGAGTCCAAGACTACACAGAGAAACCGGTCTTTAAAAAAAAAAAAATCTTAAAAAAAAAAACGAAACAGATAGTGGAGTGACTCATGCCTGTAATCCCAGAACTCTGAGGTATAAAGATTGGTAAATTCAGGTCAGATTGGGTTACATAGTATGTCCAAGAGCAGCTTGGAATGCATAGCAAGGTATTCTTTCTTTTCTTTTTCCTTCTCACACATGCATACACACAAATAACCTCCAAACCAAAATGCATAACCAAATCCAAAACAAATCCCAGCAATGGGAGTTTATTTTGGCAGTAGTAGATTACTAGAGTACTTTATTCCTATTCATAGGGTCCTAGGTTCCATGTAAAATAAAAAGCAAAGCAAGGTAGTGCTCATGAGTTGAACATACTTCCTTTTTGTTTCTTGAGACAGGGTTTCTCTGTGTAGCCTTGGCTGTCCTGGAACTCACTCTGTAGACCAGGTTGGCCTTGAACTCAGAGATCCACTTACCTCTGCTGGGATTAAAGGCTGTCACCGCCTGGTGGTAAATTTACCTTTCATTACTAAGTGTGTATAAAGTTAGAGGACAACTTGTGGGAGTCAGTTCTACTATGTGGGTTCTGGAGATTCAGCTTAAGCTGTTTATCTCCATGCCCTTTCTTAGGTCAGGTCTCTTGTATTCTCTGTATTCCAGGCTATCTGGCCCTTGAGTTTCCAGGCAGTTCTTCTGTGTTTGCCTCAGAAAAGCTGGGATTACAAGTGCAGACCATGGCATCTGGCTTTCTGGGGAACTTCTTGGGATTGGAACTTGGTCAGGCTTGAAAGGCGAGACCCACTGAACCATTTCCTAAGTCCCCTGCATTGTGGTTTTTTTTTTTTTTTTCAGGGGGGGAGGCTAGTTCAAGATGGGGTCTCTGTAGCCCTGGCTGTCCTGGAACTTATTGTGTAGATGAGGTTGGCCTTGAACTGAGAGATCCCCCTGCTTCTGCCTCCTAAGTGCTGGGATTAAAGACATGTGCCACCACCATATGGTTCCTTCTTTGTGG